AGCCAGCGCACCTAGCGAAGTGAACTGAACACGTGCATGGTAACACAACACCACACACATCCAACGAACATCATGGCTACGCGGTGAAAACATAACCTCCGGTTCTAACATAAACGGGTAATAATATAATAATAATATAATAATAATAATATAATAATAATTTAATCATTATAATAATAGTGATAAACATCGCTAACGGATATCATGAATTGGTGGGCACGTGATTACAAAGGAAGTAGGTTATGGTGATTCTGGAAAGATCTTCGGCGTTCACTGATGTTGATTCAGTGTCACATGTGATGGGCTAGACTAATCGTAGCATATATATATATATATATTATATATAATATTATATATATTATATGTGGTGTGTGTGTGTGTGTGTGTGTGTGTGGTGTGTGTATATGTGTGTGTGTTGTGTGTGTGTGTGTGTGTGGTCTGTGTGTGTGTGGTTGTGTACGTGTGTCTGTGTGTGTGTGGTGTGTGTGTGTGTGTGTGTGCTGTGTGTGTCTGTGTACGTGTACGTGTGTGTGTGTGTACGTGTGTGTGTGTGTGTGTGTGTGTGTTGATGTGTGTTGATGTGTGTGTGTGTGTTGTGTACGTGTGTGTGTGTGTGTGTGTGTGTGTGTGTAGTGTGTGTGATGTGTGGTTGTATGATGTGCACGAGGTGCGTGTGCGTGTGCGTGTGCGTGTGCGGCGCTAGGTGTCGTGTGCGTGTGCGTGTGCGGCGTCGTGCGTGTGCGTGCGGTGCGTGCGTGCGTGCGTGCGTGAGTGGTGTGTGTTGTGTGTGTGTGTGGCAGAGAAAAAGAGAGAGTGGTGAGCGAGAGAAAGTACGATGACTGATTGCACTCATGAACTCTGCATTTAAAGGTTATCAGGAAGAAAAAAGCAGAGTTTAGGCCGACGGGACCTCGTATTCTGAGCGTTAGAGCAGAGGACGCAACCCGCGAGGGACAATGGATAAGGAGTTCAAATGATGATGAAGGCTTCTGCAGAGGCCTATGTTAGGAGTTGAACTACCGCGGACTCTGTAAGTCGATCCTCGCACAAGCTAGCTATAGTGTCCGGGTGATGGTCTGGATCGATCTGCTGCCCTAAAATCGCTGGACCTCTTAAAAGTTGGTCGGTCCAGTTTCGCGTGCTAATCAGAACCGCCTAATAGGAACGCTTATATATATATTGATTGAATAATTCCATTTCCTGTATAGTTTCAGCATGAAAAATAAAGTTTATCACAGTTAGATCCAATATAACAGAAGTAGATATACTTATCTTACTTCTATTCTTCTATTATAACCTATTATTACTGGTTAACATAAGTTACTTATTTGGATCTAACTGAGGATAAGTTTGATTTCAGGCTTCTTATAATTGGTTCCTTGTTCGATCTGTAGAATAATGAAGTGATGTGGTTGAAGACGCTCGGTTAGGTCTGGCGCTAAAGCCTGATTGTAAGTCCAACCGGGACAGAGCGATCCGGAACGGAATCCGTCGCGTGAATTAATCTTTCATACTGTTACGTGATATCAAATAGAAAGTTTTCTTATTTATGGACTTATTCGTGATAATAGTTTTTGGCGAGACGTGGTATGCACGAATGCGAGTTAGCTTCCGTGAGCAATCCGTGCGTGAATTGAATCCTATTATATACAGACATGCTGAGTATTGAGATTTATGTTCCATGCGCGTTCGTCTTCGGACTAAGATTGGCACGATGGCTTACGCCGTCAAGTTCCCGATTGCTGAAACGTCGTTATGATCGAGGCAAAATAAATACGTAGGTTTCGGTGTGAGCGGTAACGGCATGGTAGTAAGCGCCATACGATATCTCGTAAATCGTATCGGATAGTATCGTACGTATACACGCGCATAAAGCTGGAACGCACCAGCCTCGCGCACTTATATACTTAATACGTATAACTCTGGCTTGTCTAACACGTTCCTTCTACCACTTAAACAAATTACCTCTAAAATGAATTCAAATAATACAAGGAATTATAAAATGTAGATAAATTTTGTCTCACCTTGCAACGAATATGTTACTGATAACTTTAAATTATTACGAGTTTGTGCTGTTATATGTTTAAAAAAGACGTAATTGAATGGCAAACTTGCGCCTGTTTTCCTGAGATTCGCGAGAATTAAGTTTTCAAACGCTCCCACAAAACAAGTGCAAGTATAGTTACGTGACGCAAATTTTTATAGAGTTATATACCTGTCTCGATATATAGACAAAGATAACTTAGGTCATATAGTACATAGGTAACATATGTGTTATATCTAGTGTAGAGACAGGATACCGGTCGATTGGATATTGCGCGATCACAAATCACGCGCTATTTTTGTTGACATGTAAACAAATCTAATTTCAAATGCAGATTGGTGCACATATTATGCAGATTGGTGCACATGATGTGTGAGTGTTCTATGACATAATATGTTAGCCTTACTATAAATACTTGCTGTTGCACGAGGAGTAATGCCAGGTAATTATCAGAACGGTCAAGAAAATACGAAAGCGGTTTGAAAAAAATCACGAGAAATCCTTGCTTTTAAACACCGGCCTCCCTTGATCTAATCGAAGATCGAGACTGATTCAGAACGATGGTTAAAGATGGAGTAATTATAGCTCTGCCTACGGAACATGTGGAACTTTTACCAGAGCAAGCTTGTGAAGGGCTTGTGAAGCAAAGCAAAGGGTTACACGCCTACAGCTAGCCTGTATGTTTATATAGACACCAGTTTACCTTCTTGCTTCTCACTACGTGAAACAGTCGGAGAGCCTGCATGTTCGGGCCATCGAGCTAGCCTATGATCGCTGTGCCTTCCCCTATTCACTGTGTGTAATGGGGCTGTTTGTTCCCTAGTGTGTTCCCTGATGTTACCTTCAGATTATTGCTCGGCGGCCATAGTAAGTGCAGTCTATAGTTAGCCAGTTCCCAAATGCCGCAGCTTACAACTAACTTATTTAATCTCGTAGTAGACGCTGGCCAATACAAGACATTTTACGATATTCATGATCGCGATCCATCAGGCAAGCACATCGCAGCGTACCGCGACAGCGTACAGCATACGCATCGTGGCTACATTGCACATTGCGCCCACCCTGATCTAACTCCACCCCTTTCATGATCCCTCGACCCTCCCCCACACGCTCTCAGGCGTAAATCTCCATCATAGATAGACCTACGGATAATACACGCAAGCATTTTCCAACACCAGTTTCTACGAGCAATTAAGGCCCTGCCCCGTATAAGTAAGTTCACTAAGTATTACAGTAGGTTCACTAAGCTGTTGAGAATAAGTGACCTGATGTGGCTCAGCCACCAGCGGACCTTTAGGTCGACCGTCTAGGGGTCATTTGGGGGTCATTCGTTTTTCTTCGCGAGCTTCCGCGCCCCTCTAGCCGGCGGTTGACCGTTCTTCTTTAACAAACAACGTGCGCAGAGAAAAAGAGAGAGGGTGAGCGAGAGAATTCACATGACTGATTGCCACTCATTCTGCATTTAAAGTTATCAGGAAGAAAAAGCCAGAGTTCAGGCCGAAGGGACCTCTAATTCTGAGCGTTAGACAGAGGACGCAACCCGCCGAAGGACAATGCGATAAGGAGTTCAAGATGATGACGCCTTCTGCAGAGGCCATGTTAGGAGTTGAACTACCCGCGGACTCTGTAAGTCCGATCACCGCGACAAGCTAGCTATAGTTCCGGGGTGATGTCCTGGATCGATCTGCTCCTAAAATCGCTGGACCTCTTAAAGTTTGGTCGATCCAGTTTCCGCTAATCAGAACCCAGCCAATAGGAAACCTTATTATATATATTGATTGAATAATTCCATTTCATCTCTATAGTTCACATGAAAATAAAGTTTATCACAGTTAGATCCAATATAACAGAAGTAGATATACTATATCTACTTCTATTCTCTATTATAACCTATTATCTACTTCTAAAAATAAGTTACTTATTTTGGATCTAACTGAGATAAAGTTTATTTTCAGGCTTCTTATATTGGTTCCTTGTTCGATCCCCGTAGAATAATGACCAGTGATCTGTTGAAACGCTAGGTTAGCTGGCGCTAAACGCCTGCAACTTGTAAGTCCAAACCGGGACAGCGATCCGGAACCGGAAATCCGTCGCGTGAATTAATCTTTCATACTGTTACGTGATATCAATAGAAAATTTTCTATTATGGACTATTCGTGATATAGTTTTGCCGAGACGTGGTTGCACGCATGCGAGTTAGCTTCCGTGAGCAATCGCTGCAGTGAATTGAATCCTATACTATACAGACCATGCATCGAGCAGAGATTTATGTTCTCATCCGCGTTCTCTTTCACTAAGATTTGCACGATGCTCCTTACCCTCAGTTCCGATTGCTCGGGAAACGTCGTTATCGACTCGAGGCAAAATAAATCACGTAGTTTTCGGTGTGAGCGGTAACGCATGTCAGTACGCGCCATACGATATCTCCTTCGTGCGAACTTACCCGCGGGTCCAGAGTTTAGCTAGCATGTACATATCGCACTAACTAGTAACTATATGTGGAAATCACCAGTAGATGGCGTTCCTAGGCTGCAGGCCAGAAGAAACATGACGAAAAAAAAAATGCATTAAAGGCTTGCGCCTCAGAACCGCGTGCAACCTGGATCTTATATTGTTCACACTATATGGCTATACGCATTCAGAGTGTGCCATTTGTCCAAAAAAAATCTTGCCGACGTTCTGATTTTATTTATAATCGTTGTTTATTTATAAGAAAAGTCGTAACATTTCGCCTAATAACATATGTTTATCGTTCCCTCGCTTCTACAGAGAATCTCCTTCTTGGAGATGGGACCCCGGACCTTCTATGCCTACTCCTTCGACGGCTACTTCACGCAGGCGTATCGCAATAGGAAGGGGGCGTTCCACGAGGCTCTCGACTCTTTAGGCGTCTGCTACGACAACACGCTCTCTCTGCTCTCTCTGCACAACAAGCCGTCGAAGCTGTTCGACAGGGAGAACACGATCTTGCATCCCGTCTCAGACACCTGCGACCGCCGTTGGTGGAAGCGATAGATCAGCGTCGTATATAGAGAGCGCGGCGCGCACATGCGTGCGATCATATGCCATAAAATCGTGAATGCTCACATCGATCAGGGAGCTCGCCTACTGGGGGAAGCAGCCGCATCGCGTGGTAACTCCTCGCCGAGTGATGTTGATAATTTCAGCTTCTATTTTGGCAGGCAGTCGGTTTCAATTTTCGACGTCGTGGGTCAGAAGCTGGATCTATCTTCGGCGGTTAGCGGAATTGATGCGTAAACCGTTCTGTCTGTTAGACATCCTCACTTCGTGGCCGTGGCAGTTATAGCGTTAGTCGGTCCATTCCCGCGCGCTGAGTAACCTAACAGTTCGGAACGTATCGACAGGAGAAAAATCTATTTTCTGCGGCAAATCCCAGTTCACTACATCAATAAAATGCTCCATTTCAAATTGTGATGGCGTTCGCTGTCGTTTTACTAAGTCATACTGGCGTTTTGCTTTTGTGCTTGCCTCCCATTCCCCACCTCTCTCGCTCTCGCTCTCGTTGTCTATCTCGATCTCGTTCTTTCATTCTCGCGCTCTCTGGCGTGCTCTCGCCTTCTTTCTCTCTCGCTCGTGCTCTCCCTCCCCCTCCCTGTACGCTCCCGTCTCTCATTCCCTCTCTTTCGCGCGCACATGACTCTCATTAGGTTGCTCGTCACTTTCTTTAGCCTACCATCGTTATTCAGACGTACATCCCACTTCTCACGCAACGCTGGATGCCCCCCAGCCACCCACCTCCTAACGACCCCCCTTATTACACCCGCTGTACCCCGCCGGTTAGCGAGCCGACGGAAAACAACAAGATAACAGCTATCATTGACCGTTTATATTGGCGCACGTTGCGCGCAGCTCTCTCTATCTCTCTCTCTCTCTCTCTCTCTCTCTCTCTCTCTCTCTCTCTC